GCCAAATGAACAATTTTTTTAGAAATAGTTTAAAACAATCCAGGGTAAGGAAACTGTGATATTTAGCAATAAGGTTAAATGAGTCAAGTTAGAATATATGCTTGTTTTTACAGTCAAAAAAACACACAAAACAAAACAAACAAACAAAACAAATTTAAAAAAAAAAAAAAAAAAAAAGTAAAACCAGCTTTGGACAACTTACAGATTCCTGGCTGTCATCAAACTCTATTTCCCTCCTTCTTCATCCTCCCCACTTCCACTTTTTATTGCACTCCCAATAGCACAGTCACCTCCCAGCCTGCACTTCAGCCCCATCAGATCTCATACACAGTACTGACTGGAAGTCCTCCAGGCCCTGCTGAGGTCAATAGCAAGATCCCATTGGATGTCTATGTGATGAGTGTTTTGGCCAATTTGAGTATGTAACCAGTGGGCAAGGAGGGCCCATGGTGCAGCCAGCAGCAAGTCCATGCTCCAGCCCCTACATAGGACAACTAAATTTTCAGTTACAGTGCCTTCTAAAACAAGTAGAACCAAATTGCACTGCAGCTTGTCCACAAACAACTTCTTAATTGTACTATAAAGTAATTCAAATTTAGTGGAGAGATGGAGAGTTGGGTTTTTTCCATACAGGAGTTACAACAAGGAATTTTCATTAGTTTAATATAAGATGATCCTGTGCTCAGGACACATTTCATATACACAAGTGCATGAGCAGATACATGTGTATTTACATATTTATATATATATTTATAATTTTACTTTATATATAAATAAGACACCTAAGAAAATATATTTAAATCAAGTTTTAAGCAACTTAATCTTGTCCATGTCGTAGGCAAATTCACCATTCTTTTTTTACCAAAAAGCTCCTCTGAGAATATATACTCTACCACTCCTAACCTTATGAACTGTGGCCAAAGTTGCTTTCTTGTTCCTTGAAGAGGACTCAGGATCTGATGCAGCTGCTCACCATCAGAGAACAAGCTGGTCTGAAGCCAGATGACCTGGCTCCTGTTCCAGCTGTCACAAGCAATACTGTGCATACGATGCCTTAGAAGGAAAAGGCGTTTCAGGGGTAAGAAAAAAGAAGTATCAGCTATAATTTCAGGGTGAAGAACTTCCACTCTGTCAGCTTCTAAGCTACCTTATGTTCCGTGCAGATGGTATAAATGGAGCAGAGACTGAAGCAAATGTGGCTTTCAGATTAACAAACTTTAATCACCCCCCAGTGGCTCCTGAGATACAGGCCAACAAGGTCTTGCTTGACAAAAGAGATTTGAACATATGGGCACTAACATCTCATATGCATCACATTTTGGAGCAAGACAAGCACTTCTGTTCTTGAGACACTTTGAAAACAGTGTCCTATTCTCAAAAGCATTAAAGTTAGGCTAACTGTGAATATCGTTATTTTTGCTACTAGCCCCAATTCCCCTATGTAGCTCTCATATTCCCTGGATGGGACAGCAAGACAAACAGTGAAACAATATGATTAAATGGCTGGAGTACAGGTATTTGGCATAATAACTAAAAAAGCTGATGCTGATTTTACTGAGATAACAATCTCCCAGCTTCTTATCTTACAACTATTTCTGAGTTTATGTCGGTTCATTTCCCTCTCACATATGCCACCCCCATTCAGGCCATATACCCCCTTCTGCACACACAGAGCAAATCTTCATTTCATAGCGCCAAAGTCTGTGCACAGACTGTCTGAATGCCACTATCTGGGCTGCTCTTTCTGAGCTCAAAGCTGAATCACAGGCCAGTGATGCCAGTCTCCGCCTGGCACAGCAGCTTCCACTAGCAGAGCTTAGTTACTCATCATCTTTTTCCATATTGCTGTGCTTTGCATGAGCCCATGTTTGCATAGAGCTCTTGGAGCTTTCTTCAAAACTTGAAAATACCTTTCCAGTTGAGTTTCAGTCTCTAAATGTACTGTCTAGTGCAACTGGCTATATTCTTCTACCAGCCCCATAACCCATTGTTGCATCAAAACATTTCTATATGCTTCGTTTCACTTTCAGTCACATATGTGGATTTATCAGGTAGTATTTTCAAGACTGTTATTACAACAGCTAATATACTGCTGAAAAATCCTGGTATCATGATGCTGTCAGATACTCCACCGATGTATGCTAGAGACAGTTTGAAAGATGTTCCCCCACTGACACAGATATAATTGATTGACCTTTTGTCAAGTTAGGCTGCAATGCCAGTTACCTTCACCTCTTATAAAGAAACTGCCTTGTGTGTAATTGGCATCACAATATGTATCGGTAGCTTTTGGAAGTAAAAATTATTAATTCTTTGTTACCAATGCCCAAAAAGATAGGATCTTCATTTTCTTTCAGTGGAATAACAGAGTCTTGGAAAGGTTAGGAACAGAAAACTTGAGCTGTATTTGTGCTTAGTTGTAAGCTGTCCTATCGGCTTTCAGAATTTAGTTCAAACACTGTCAAGCAGCAGCCACTTCATTTTAGCCATTTTCATACTTGCAACTGACACGGTACGCTACTTCCAGACTCTAAGATATGCACTGCAAACTTCAATTTTCAGCCTGTTCTCTTACAAGTTTAATTGTACTCTGACTAGCCAATATACCGTGCTTTGAAGGAAAGAGCCAGGTGTTTCTAAGATGCCTACGTCCAGTGCCTGAGCTGCTCACACTTGTCACAGTTCAGTTCCTGCTTTATCAAGTCAACTACAGCCTTTCTGCTAGATCAAAATAAGAGACAGTCCATACAGAACCAGAGTCTTTTCCCCCAGCAAGACTGTTGAGCCACAACACTCTGCTCCAACACACACTTTTCAACATAGACACCAAAATGAGTGCATACTGCAGAGAAACATGTGAATCTCAAACAAACAGATCAATATTCTACACAGGTGGTAATTAAATTTAAAAACAAGGAAAAAAACCAAAACAAAACAACATCCAATCAAAACAAATGAACAAAAACCCTACAGAGGTCATGACATTTATAAAAATGACCTAACAAAAATGTCACTCAGAAACATTTCACTAAATTCAAACCTTATTTAAAAAAAAAAAAAAAAAAAAAAAAAAAAGCAAGCAGTAGTCACTTGGTGTTGAGAAATCTTCACAAAATTTTCCAGATTTGATCAGATTTTGTTTCTCTCAATTACTGAATTACTACTTTAGTGTCATACCCAGGTAATAATGAAGCTGCTGCTTTAACAAGTGATTAAAAAATACCAAGTCAAAGATTTTCTGGTTTTGTAAACAGATACTTATAAACATAAAGCAGAATTTAACACTAGAGGTCAAATACAACTGACTAACTGCAATAGGACTTCTGACATATATTGGTCTCTCCCAAAACTGTTTAGATACCTCCAAGAAGCCAATGAGCATTTTTTCCACTTAAGTCCAGTTAAGGACTCACAGTTACCCACAAGGTCTCCCTCAGAGACTAACTGCTCAGATGTAATAAACCATGCTGTCTCAAGGATGAAGCTTATGCTAGGCAAGCCCTGCAATTTCTCAGCCAGCTGATTAACCCCCCACAGGCTCAGAAAACCATCAGTTCTGGCGTTGCGCCTCACACCAATGCTGCTGAGCAGATGAGCTCTGCTTTTCTTGTGCAGGGCTTTCATGCATTTTCTGAAATTAGACCTTGCATTTTTAACCACAAAAAGTAAAAAGTAAAAAATAACTTCACATCCAATGCTTTTTTCTTTTTTTTTTCCCCCCTTTTTTATGGTTTCTTCCAAGGGCTGTGGGAAAGGACACAGTACATGCCAAAAAAACCCCCACACACTTTCCAAGTTTTGCTCAAATACAGCCTGAAGGACTACTGTGAAACAGCAAAGAGTAATCTGGCTATAGGAGTGCAAATGAACAAAAGCATTACTTGGGCTTTCAGGAATATGTTATCTAGTAAATCTGTTTTAAAAAATGAAATTATATAGACAGATTATATATATCATGATAAATGCTTCATTTTATATTGAATCTTTCAACTCAAGGGTTACATCTGTTCTCAGATACTCAAATCCCTCTCAATTTCTCCAGCTCCAGCAAGTAGTTAAACGAAGTAGGCCTCAACAGTCAGCATAGAGTGGCTTGAGTTATGTGGGGTTTGGGGACCTTTATTGGCATTGAAAAAAATCAACATGTCTTTGGAAAAACAGTTCAAAGCCTGTTACCTAAATCACATAATCCTCAGCAACAACAACACTGCCTAACTTGCAGGTTTCTGTGACATGAAGTTCTGGGACGCAATTCTGCTGTTGTCTCTATCTCAGCAGTGCCCCTGGACACTGGTAAGAGTTAGGACTGTCTCCATGCTGATCAGCATCTCAATCATTAACTTTTAGTTAATCCACCTTTTTTAATTAATCTTTTGCAGCAGTCACACACATATCTCCCCTTGCATTCTAACACAGTATAGTAACAGAGCACAAAATCCCTAGTGCTGTCAAGCAAAGACATCCCAAACATCACCTTTCAGCTACTAGAACAGACTATTTCATCTGTAACTATAGATGCAGAAACTTACTGTAAAAGTTTCAGTGGGAAGATTTTCTTTTTTTACAGTAATAGACATGCAATTGGCATTATTATTATTCAGTTCCATAATTCTCAGAAATAAAACACTGTTTTCTCTAAACCCAATATAATCTAGCAGCAATAGGCTTATTCTACAAGTAACAGTATTCGGTCAACTCATGGGCATGTGCTGTAGTTTTGCCCAGCCGGCCAGCCCCTGGGGCTGAGAATGGTCTTGTCTAGGTGAATTTCCAGACAAGAAGCCAATTAAAATTCTCAGTAATGCCTTTGCTAATTACATCTTTAAGAAAACAGAAGAGAAGGGTGTTGCGCAGTTGAAATTAGGAGCGGCAGCCATGTAGGAGAGAGGTGGTGGGCCCTAGAAGGGCCAAGGCCCCCTCCTTCCCCAGCTTGGGCCGGGGGGTAAGTGCAGCACTGAAGCCTCCCTTGTCTCTTGTAAGATAGTGAAGGAAAAAAAAGTTTAAATGACGAACTGCTTGGACGAAGAAACTACTGTGAAAGAAATTCCAGCAAAAAGATAACGGAGTGTCCAAGGTCAAAGCTGTCAGCTGAAACTGCAGCAGAAGAGAGAAGTGCAAAAGTATGTGGGAGGGGGTTTGCTTCTTCCCCCTTTCGCTCTCTCCCTTCAGCAGGGTAAAGACTGAAAAATAAAACCCTGCTACCTGTGAAAGTTTGTTGGGGTGAGGAAACTCCCATGTTGCTCGTGGAAGAGTCTACACTGGAATAAGCTGATGCATGAGGAATCCGATGAGAGACTTGAGATAAAACAGAGTCCTGTTGGAGATTTGTGACCCTGAGAAAACCTCACGCTGGAGTAAGAACGGCTCATGTGAGATGTTGCGATCTCAGTGAAGAATCCATACTGCTGCTGAAGATTTGTGACCCTGAGAGAAACCTCACGCTGGAGCGAGACGGTTCGGGTGAGATGTGGGGATCCAAGTAAGGGATCCATGCTAGACCCATGCTGAGAGGTCTGTCAAAGACTGTTCTCCCATGGGAAGGGACCTCCATAGGGAACAGGGGTGGACTTACAAGCCATTATCCCCTGTAACCCTGTGGAAGAAGATCCATAGTAAGCAAGTATCCCCTTGCAAGCCTATGGAAGAAAAACTTTCAGGACCTGGGCAACCCCCTAGCCTCCAGTCTTAGCCCAGGAGGGTGGTAGGCCCAGCCCTGGAGGCTGACACAGAGAAGGAAAAAGAGTTCCAGTTGCGACGAGAGTGCTGCAGTTACTGGAGAGAGAGAGAGAGCTGAAACTCCAAGAATGGAGAAAAGAATTGCTTCTCCTCCTTGGACTAATATAAAAGGGGGGAGAAATATTTTTCTGTAAATACGTAGTACTTTTACCTAAGTAGCATCATTGTAGATGTAATTCTTTAATTTTAACTTATTAATAATAAATGTTAATACACGTTTCCCCAAATCAAGTCTCTTTTGTCTGCATAAACCTTCTCCCAACTAATAGTAATTATGTGGGGGATGTAAAAGCAAATTGACCCAAAGCAAAACCACAACAGCATGGAATTTCAAGGACAGAAAACAGGGGGAAAAAAGCACAAACTATAGAATTACGATCTTATTTCACCTTTTGTGCTACATCCTCACTGGATAACGTATCACTCCATGTATTTGAATTTAATTAAGTTGCTATGGGAGATTCACTGCTAAGCAAGCAGCATCACCTTACACTGACCCACTGCTTTCATGATTGAATTTCACAAGAAGCGACATACAGCTATAGCAACCTCCTCTCGATAACAGCTCAGGGCTTCTGATAGCATTCTGAAGGTCAGTTGATCTTGACTTTAGAAGCAAGCGGTTACTACTTCTTGGAATGGCATCAGTTTTAAAATCTGAGGGGGATACTTTCAGGATATGAATGTGCCAAAATAAAGTCCTGAGCTTAGCAGCCACTTTAAAAAAGAGTTCACTGAATGTAACTGAGAATGTTGCAAAAAGTGCAGTCATTTCGTACAATTTCTGCTTCTAGCAGCAACAATTTTAACTCAATCACAAACAAAGCTCTTTTGGTCTCCTGAATGCTGGCAAATGGAGAGTGTAAGACAAGTCACCAGCAATCACCATTCACGTTTTATTCAGTTTTTTTTATTTGATGGTAGCTAGCAAAAAGTCTTGTTTACAGAAATATGGTAACCTATGACAATATTGAAATGCAAGAAGACAAAAAACCTTCATTGCCTAACAGTGTACAAACAGTAGTTACAGGCTTCTCATGTCTACAAGTAGATAACAGAGTGTAAAACATGCAAGTATATTTATTACCATTTGTTTGTATAGGTCCTGAATACTAACAAAACGCAGCTTGCTTTTCCTGCTGTTGAATTGAAATGTATTTTCTTTTCAAAACCAGGCACAAAGTAAGTCTGATGCATGAAGGCACAAAAGCGTATAGCTTCCACTGAAAACAAACACTGGTAGCTGTGCCTGTGCCACAATCTATGCCAAATATCTTTGCTGCTCATCCTCTATGCAAAACGTAATTGGCAAAGAGGATGAGCAGCTTTACAACCAGAATCCAAAATGAGAGTAGACATCCTGAAGTAGTGAGTCTCTCTCTGGGCAATGAATATTCATTGATGTTTGCACTCTGCTTGTGTCAAGTCAGACTGAATTAAAACTGCATTTTTGAAAAATATTGAAGTAATCTTCACCTAGAAGTCACACTGGCCAAGCTACTACCACATACAGTGTTACCAATGCAGGCCATTCACCTTCTATCCCCAAGATGCGCCATAAAGATAATGCTGGTCAGAGCACAGCTCTCAGATGAACACTCAGAGTCAATGCATTATTCACAAACCTCATATGATAAATCGTCACTTACACTTACAGTAGCAGATGTAACTGCTAGCAATTGCTTAACATTTCTCTGCAAATTTAACTTCTAATGGTAGAACACTTGTTGCCTGAACACTGCTAGAGAAGTTGGGTATAAACCTTTTTTTCCAATACTAACAATAGCAGCATACACATTTAAATGCACAATGACTATGTCCCTATTTTACCCATTCACTTGAAGTAACTAGCTAATGACACCTGGATCTACAGTCACTTTCCTTTCCCTCACTCTGGTCCTGGTCCTGTCAGCAGTTTATGCAGGTGCTCACATTTCTGCTGCCCTCATTAAGACTGAGCCTGTCACAGAGCTCTCAGTTTTCAGCCAAATATACAGTGCCAGCCACATAAGCAAATGGACAATTGATGAAAACTTTTAATTCATTCATAACTATGATATGTAAGCCCCCAAGCCTCATACTTCTGATGCTGAAGAATGAACTTTTTTTTTGAGATTTTCTCCTCAGATCTAAGACATACTTCCTCTGAGGTACACATGGAAATATTCCGGTAATGAAAGAGCTTTCTCACAAGCACAGTCCCACAATCCTTAGAGGTAAACCACTCATCAAAATACTGAATGCCTAATGGAAACAAATTAAAATTGTGCCACAATAAGAAGTCTGGGCTGGATCCCAAAATTACCCACACAAAACATTACTCTGCTCCTATCTTTATTAACTTATTTGGCTTTACTGGAATTTACAGGCTGGTGCATTCATTCAGTTAAACACTGCCCTCTCCTGGAACCATCTCACATTTTTCTGGATCTTAACATGAAATCAGTTAAGGCTTTTCCAGTCATTACAAATTCCATAATATTTTGTGAACAATTTTAGTCTGATACTGGAAAATCAACGCTTTGTAAGGAATATCATGATTTACACAACTCTAATAATGTATGATGTACATATTCCACTGTTCTATACTTACAGGTCTCTAACATCGTATGAAGTGTGATCTTCCTGGCTAAATAAATAGTTCACAAATCTGTGCCAGCTTTCTAGAGCTTTTAAAGATTGCAACATTATAGGAAAAAAAACAGTACCTTCTATAGAACTTGTTGTACTGCAGGGCATTTTTGGACTTTCCACTGTCTCAACTTGGTTTGAATTAATACTCTATTAAAAAAAAAATAAAAATTACAGTAACTGTACTTGATGCCTGTGACATTTATCTGAAAACTCAAGAATAATATCAAAAGACTAGCAAATCGATATGTTATAAGCATTACTAAAATGACTGATAGAGATTCCACTGGGAATATTTTATTGGCTACCTTCCAGGGGAAACCAACAGTAATTCCTCAAGAGGGAAACCAGTAAAATATTTCTAACCACAGAGAGAAGTTACCTCCTGCCTACAATACACAAGGGATATAAAGGGTGAGATTTAACATTTGTACTTCACTGCTTAGAACCTTTTTCTCTATGAGGAAAGTAGCACTGCAGCCTTGCACAACAGCTCTGTTCAGAAGTCTACTTTATGTTGAAAGCATCCCTATAAAGCAAGCAGTTTTGATGCATAGGTAATATAAAGAGAATAAACCCAGTCTAAACACTAACTACATGGTAAACCCAGCCTGCAAGGCACGAGCCACTCTCTTCCCATGTTTGTGACCCCAGTTCGGGCTGCCCCCTCATGCATATGCACACTGACTATCACTCCTACTCAAAAGAAACTGGGGACTGGGATCCAGACTTTTACTTCAGCAATTACCCTCAGAGATTACAAGCAAACTGGGAGGAAGAAAAAAGGTATCCTTTTGTGTAGTTTCATCCACAACTCTGCTTGCTCCTAGTGGGTTGACTATCTACCATCCACCAAGAGCAGCAAACAGAGTAAAAGACATGGTAATCTGAACAGAAAAGAAGTAGTAAGGGATGATCCTGGGCTGAATATTGCAGCCAAACCGATTTGAAAGCCATGAAGCTGTCAAGCTATCTATGATCCCCACCTCAGTGGGGCTAATTGCATTTTTCTCTGCTCATCTGTTGGTGTGCTAGGCAGTTTCCTACTCCCACACCTACGAGGCAGAAGTCATCTCCTCCTTGAGAAACTACTAAATTTGTTCACCACAATGCAATAAAATTACTTTAATATTCATAAATTATCTTAATAATTTTGGATTATTATCCTGGTTTGACCTTTCTGGTTTTTTCATTACTCTAACACCATTTCAAATATGTTCATCAGTCCCCAGATCTCTCTTCCCTGTTCCCCTGACCTCTCCCCTGCACTGGCTGTGCTGCCCAGCAGCTGAGACAGTCAAGTGGATCACCTTCACATGCTACCTAGGTCTCCACTGGAGGTGCACAGTGAACCACACAGCCTCACTGACGGGCCTCACTAACACCACAGCAATCTCTGCCCCAAGGAGGTCACACAGAGTTCAAGCAATTTCACATTGTTCCTCATCATCTTCAGAAATCTCTCTTCTGTACTGCCTAGTACAGCCACAAAATCTGTGAGTTTTCCCTTTCTGAACTGTTTAGTGGAGGCATGGCTCCCCTATAGGTGACTGTACCTTATTGACAGCTTGATTGTTTTAACTTTTACATTACCATTTTAGACTTTAAGGATTACTCAAGGAACTAAAAGAATCCACAGAGCAGAGAATGAAGAACACACTTGAGAAAGATTAGTATTTTACTGCAGGAATAAATGCAAAAATAGTTTGTGCTCCTCCCTAAGTCAGCCATTTCACACAAATCCACAGCTACATGCCACCACACATGAGAAAAGCTCCTTCTCTTAAGTTCATGACTCTCTGACTCAAACATAAAATAGCAATGTGATCATTTATGCAGTCTCAAGATACCAGCTGTAAAGCCTTAGTCTGCTGTAGATGAAATAAATACTCCAGTACAGCAATGAATTCTACCTCTATTTTAAAAAGACTGTGAAATCTCTAATGCCCACCAAAAATCTCTAATTCCCTACTAGTGCTTTGCATACAACTAAAGTGCTCAAAATCCTTGTTCACAATAGAGATAAAACTAATTTTACCTTTCCTTTTGAACATAATACACAATCTAAACACGACAGTTCGATCATTTTCCCACATAAAATCCAGGATGATATCTGGTGTACAAGAAATTGACTAAATAAACACCTGATCTTCCCAATTATTTTGGTTTATTTATGCTTTATTAAAAGTGGTTCAACACTGACACTGAGCAGGAGGGGAACAGGGTCCCCACAACAGAATCTAGACTGCTGCAGAGGAATGAGCAAAAGGGGAACTCACAAATCCAGGGCAGCAGACATTTTCCTGAAAATACCTAGTGCAGAATTTTTAGCCTTTAAGAGTCTTTGTCTTTGAGAATATCTAACATTTCACATTTCTTTTTCCCATTTCAAAGACTGAAGGAAAAACGAGGATTTTATGAGTGCAAGAAAAAGCCAGTTATAAAAATAACAATGCGTTCTTGATTATAGTCTTGGTTTTCCTATTGGGTTTACTATTGTTTCAATGAAAAAGCCACACACAACTGTAGGGATTCTGCTAGCTACACAGAATAACTTCTTTGTATTGGAACAAATCAAATTCTTGACAATGTAGATTATACATAAGGACTATACAACATACCATACCTTAAATTTCTATGTCACACATAACACGTAAATCATTTTATAAGTGAAAAAAGAAATACAGAATGCAATAAAAATAACTCAAGAAAAATCAGTGCACAAACAAGGAAACCTGAAGCAAAGCATGGAAAAGAAAAGCTGAATTTCAAGACTAGAAAAAGAGCCAACTGTATTGCTATTAAAGAACTTGTACATGCAAGCGTTCTCCTCCTTACTTTACTGAAATTGAGAGATGTCCTGAAGGATATGAGAACAGTGCTTCAGATATCATACAGTGAAATAAGACCAACCATACCATAACTAAACTCTATAGCAAAAGTCTATACTCTATTTCTGCCGTAAATAATAGACCAGGGTTGGCTCTTGATAAAGGTTCCCAAGTATTACACTACCAGACAAAATAATGGAACTACATTAAATATTTCAAAGTACTAAAGTGAATACAATGGTAATGCCACTGAAGACATGGAGATATCAGGGAAAGATACTCCTTGTAGAGTCCACCAAAATTAAAAAACGACTTGGGAGGCAAAGGAGGCTTTAACAAAGCTCTCAACATCTCTTATGCTCCAGCTTCAGTCATACAATGTGCTACCCTTAACACAAAATAGAAGCCCACAACAGTACTCCTGCAGTTATCTGGTGATTAGTGACATGGGCAGCCTAAACTAAAGGGCTACTTGAGAAAAACAAATCCAGCCTGAAAAGTTTAGAGCTGGAAATTATGAAGAAAAGCTATAGTACCTGGTAAAGAAGAGGTCTGTCCCAGAAGTGTTTTCTGAAGAGCTTAATGTCCAACTCCAGCAAGTGCTGTGCAGTGTGGCTAAATGTCAGCCTCAGAGCTCCCGATGAATGAACAAGCTGCACGCAGGCACCATCACAGATCTCTGCTCTTGAAATGTCAAGCAAGTGACTGCCCTGGAAGCTGGAATGATTACTCTTTGAAGTGCTCTGTGTACAGGTAGAAGCAAAGCATGGCCCCGATGAGCTTCCTGCTCGCCTTTGGCACAACTTGTCAGGACCCCAACACACCCACTACAAAAACCAGAGGTAGAAAATCTGAAGCACTAACTGAAAACACAGTTGGACAAACAAATACTTATCAATTGCTCCTCTTAGCCTTAAGGACACACAGCTACCTCTAGCTATCAACTGGTAAAAAAACAATATTAGCTCTAGATTGTTACTCACTAGTAAAAGAAGTCAGAAAGAGCAAGCTGTGACAACACCTATTTCTCCTGATTGCTACAAATGAGTAACAGTACCTTTTCCTGTAAATGTTGCCATATATAGCCATAGGACACAACTGGCAGCTAGCAGATTTGTTATCCCAAAACAGTGAAAAACAGAAAGTATCTCAAGGGAATACAGTATTGTTTGAACATTACAAACAAATGAGACAGTCATAACAGAACGCACCATACTGAAGGACGGGTAAGTCTCACATAAACTATAGGCTGCATGGAGCCAGAATTAAAACAGCCACATAACAAAGTAAAAATGTATCCCAATTCTTGTGTATCTCTATTTGCAAAGAAAATCCAAGAGTAAGAAGGGGTGTCTGATGCTGAACATTTGGAATCCCAAGACACATACACACACACACCCCCATGTAGCTCCTCAGGACTGTACAGAGGGAATTTCAGACAGCTGAAAGGTGCCAGAAAGCACTTGTTCTGTAAGTCATTTATCAGTGTGGCAGCTCTCTGGCAAAAGAATCATAACTGCAGCAATGGCTTTATGGTTGAGTCTCCCTTATTTGTTCAAACCCGAGCTTTAGAGAGGTCACAGTCTGCCAATGTTTCATGAAAGTCAGGCCCTATGGTTCTGCTTGTAACAAATATTTCTATGTATTATTTTTTAAGGGATGTCTTTTCTTGTTTGCAATGCATCAGGATTCAGCTGTAATAATTCTAGGAGAGGTACCTGATGGTGCAGCTGGTCCTCTGTCATTTAACTGACTATTAATTGACTTGTAAATGTAATGAAGGATGCAAATAACAAATTTTCTTTAATTATAAATACAAGTTTACCACTTTAAATTATAATACTGGTAAAAAGCAGCAGAAATCAGCACAAAATAGGCAACTCTTTCAAGATAAACAACAGTATTACCCGCATTCCTTAACTGACAGGACATTTGCAGAGGAAGCATGCTGCAAGCCATTATACTCACTTTGTGAAGACCTCAACTAGTTTGGAGTGTCCATGTTGTAAAGCCAAATCTAATGGTGTTGCTCCCTCCTCACCAGGTAATGCTAATGCTGATGACCCTCCAGGCTGGGCTGCCAGGAACAGGGAAAGCTTAAACAAGTCCAATTTCATCACAAGTTGGAGAAGAGTTACTTTATGTTTAGGCTCTGAAAAAACACAGCAAGCAAAACAAGATCATCAGTAACAAAACCCACCATTTTATTTGCTAGGAAGTATTAAAAGACATTTGTTATCATCTGCAGAAATATCACAGCTCACATTCAGACTTAAAAAATTACTTCAGCAGAAATGCTTTTAGTCTTTCACTGAAATCAACAGTTAGTTACTTAATTGCACATGCAGAGCTAAAGGATATGTAAATACCATTTAATTTCATCAGTCAAAGAAAACAGTTTGAATTAGATAATTCCATTATTTCTCTCTTTCTTTATATATAGTATAGTATTCAACATCAATAAATACCCCAATAAGCAGAAGACTTAAAGGGCAATTTTCCTACTGCTTTGTATTGCCTCAGCAACACAAAACATCTGGCAACACAGCCAAGTATCTAAATTTAAAAATTTAAAAGAAAAAAGGTGGTATGATTTTTCAAGGCAGGCTTTTTATCATGACAGTAAGAGCAGAGAGCTATAAGCTAACAACCCAAGAGCATAAAATATGCCACAAAATTCTTGTTTCTTCTCAGAAAGGTGATCTCATGTGACAATCCTTCCTCTCCTCTCCACTTTTCAGCACATAATCATCAAGTTCAATGGGATGAAGCTTAAAATGAGATCTACAACAATGACTTAATCACTAGATGCTGAATCACCATTCAAGACATTCCCTGGCCTTTATTCAAAGACAGATCTATCTGTCTACATACATTCTCAAACAAAAAGTCTTTGCAATTTAAAGGCGATAAATAAAATATTCTCAAGTGCCACTCAACCTGTTCCCTACACTGATATTTTGGTATGAAGTTAAATATGAGGGTAATTCCACAAGGGTCAAGTATTTAAGGGCAGTTACTCTACAGCTCTTAGAACAACCATCTGAAATCTATTAAGCTTCCAGTTATTTATAAAATTTCATCAAAATTTATGATCCTTATTCAACAGACTTCTTCTTCCCTTTTACCCAACCATTTCAAAACAAGCAATTGAAAATTATACAATCCAGCAGCAATGGCAAGGTGAAGCTCCTGAAGCATATGTAGGTATGTGCACACATTGGTGTAAATAATAAGAGTTGAAGTCAACACCAAAACTATTCAATTTCCTCTCTGCATCAAAATTTACAAGGTAAACTGTCTGACAGAATGCCATCCCCTAGCAGAGAGACCAGTTATGTCATCAAAAAGCTAATAAGCATGTTTTTTAGAAACACTTATACACTGAACAAAGGTGTTGTGTAGTTACACTCAAATGGATTAGCTCATGGCAGACTCCTATTCAGTTTAAATACTCCCTCTGAAAGTGTCAGGTATATTTAACTTTTAAAAAAATCTTGAAGAAACCTCAAGCGGTCTCTAGTCCATTCTTTGCCTTTAGCCTAAGGTTTGTCTCATCTCTTCTAAACACCTTTCAACAACAAGAGGTTTTCTTAACTTCCTTGGGCAATATACACCTGGGAAAATTTTACCTTCACCATAACAACGATCATCTAGCTCACTCTTTCTTACTATAAGCCTTCTGCTTCTTTTCCCATCTGAATTAAAAATACTTCATTTCTTTCCTTTCACAGTTTCCTTTCACATAATTGAAGGCTGCTGTCATGACTCAGCTGAGTACATGCTCTTAACATCTTAACAAGAGAGCTGCCTTCTGCAAAGACCTTTCTGAGGGCAGGGGGAAGTCATCAACCTTTTTGAAAATGTTGGACCTAAAGTGTTATTATAGTCAAAAGAATCCTTTTCACATCGCATAAAGCCAGAATGGCAGGGAACCTGAAGAAATTGCTCTACCACTCCCCAGAGAAAATTACTGTAGGATCTCCACTGGTGACAGAATTTTTACTCTGAGTATTTGATTGCAACCCATTCAGACTTTTTACCTTCCATTTCAAGTGGAATCAAAAGTTTCAGAGAGTCAAATCCCAGAAAACCAGGCTACACTTCATCCAATAAGCAAAATAAAATCCAGACATCAGAGTAAAAGGGAGTTTCAGGACACAGATTCTAGCACTGTAACAGCCTGCAAACCTAAATATAGTGTCTGAAACCTATTTTTACTGCAGTTCTAACAAAAATAGACACATTAACATTTAGATGCAGGAATAATTCTTTAAACCAGAATATCACTAAACATATACAGAAAATGTACTTAAGTATTTCTAGAACACACATACAAAAAGTCATGTCATTATTTATTAAAAAATTCACGTTCAAACTCATTCTTACTTGTGGCTAGCCAACATGTGCTCTGGTGCATTAGCCTACCTATGCAACAATTTTCTCCCCAGGTTTTGGGCAATAAAATTTTTTCTTGGTCTTCCCATTTCAGATTCTAGGTAAAAATACATCCAGCTGGGCACATGATTCAGGGCCACAGAGTTTTTTCCCTCCAAGGTCTAAAAAATATTTCTGATTTCAGTTTTTGCAGTCAATGATCACTGCTATATTTTAGTTACCTACTTTAATATGAACTATAGTGTTTTCACCACTATTTAATGAGATAGCATGTATGTTTCAAACTTTTCAAACATGTGCAACCCTAAAGTCCACTGAATCCAACTCAAGCCTTTGCAGATTGCTTTGCTACATGGAACCACAGAAAGCCTTGGGTCAAAAGGAACCTTCAAAGACCACCTAGTCCAAAGACCCTGCCATGGACAGGAACAGCTTCCATTAGACAAGGTTTGCTCAAGACCTTCTTCTATGGAGAAACATTTAAATGAACAGGGTTCAGGCTTCCCAAAACAAGTGGTTGATGTGCCACTTGAAAAATGGGAACCCTCAGTACAACTTCCTCCTCAGCTAGATAGGATTTGAACTCACACAGCTTCAAACTTCCTCTGATCATTCCTCTGGTGGAAGCATACCCTGTCCCCTCTGTTGCAGAGTAATTGAAATGGGTTACAGAGCAGAAGGAAATCCAAGGGATGCAGGGCAGAAGACCAAGAAAGCAGCAGACTGACTACAAACAATCAGCTAGGAGAAGCCTCTGCTGTTTAGACATGGATGCCCTTCTCATGATACTGTCATCCAAAGTGAAAAACGATGCTCAAAGCCTGGATCTCTCAATTGCTCAGAGAATGACATAACAACTTGGACACAGTATGAAAATGTTTGTTAGTATCTTCCCTTTCCCAAGCTATATTTCTGAATAGACACTGGTAACACCATTTGTGCTTTGCACTGGCCCCAGTGCTATTTCTATGCTTCAGAGACTCTCCATCACAAGTACTGTAGCAGACTCAACTCTGTGTCACCAGTCTGGACCCCAGCAGAGTACCAGCCAGTGATGCAAGTCACTAGCACTCCCTCGTCTGGAGCATTTATATGTACAGCAGGGAGCTGAAATACCCAGGAAATGCTGTGGTCCAGAACCAAGACCCTGAACAAACATTATGCATTCAAAGATTAAGATGTTCACTAAAAACAAAAATTCAGAATTGCTCTTTTATATGGAGTACTTAAATTCTGCTGAAGTCCAACTTTAGACACCAAAGTGGGCTCTTTAGATGCTTCCACATATATATTAACTATATATTTATATATATATATTGTTGTTAATGATGAGACAGCAGATAAATTTTGCTAATTCAAACATCAACCAATATTAAACACACCAAACATCTGAGCAGATACTAACCACACCCTAATCCTCAGATTAAAACCACAGAAACAAAAAGGCAAACTTTACTCTGAACTTTGGCCTGGGGCCACTGGATTTCAATGTATATTGCAACATCACAAAAAAAAGCAGGTAAACTTGCTCTGAGCATGATAAAACTAGGACTTTCCCACTCAGTAAAAACGGAGCCTGTAGGGAGCCTTCCCTGATGAGGAATAACCTTTCCTCTGCTCTGAACTGCAGCAGATAAAGTTACCCTTCTGGTGGCCAAATCTGGTGGTAGTATGAATAAGCCTGCTACAGAAGAAATGAGTTGTAAAAATTATAGTAATTAATCTTTGTCATTTGAAAACACCAACCATCACAAAAATTTCTATTATCTCACCACAAATAGTCTAGTAACTGATTTTTATCTGCCCACCCTAACAATCTTCATCTAACTTTATGCTATATTTGTTCATGACCAGCTTGAATGCACATAGTAGCAAAAGCACCAAAAAGCTTCACTGGTTGCTTTCACCCCTGGTGAACTTAGAAATAGCATTCACATTCCCCCCCATCCTTTACCTCTCTATATGATGTGTTTGCTGGGCTCCCTTCTTCTTACTACTCCCACATGGCTTGCCCAGGAGTGAGCCGAACCTGATGACATAAAGCAATAACTAATAGCTTTATGATACTAAAATCTGAAATACAAATTGTGAAGTTGTAAGTATAAATGGAAAGGTAAATATGTTCTTTCAATACAAGAAAGGTATTTTTTACTCCAAGGATGGTCAAATGCTGGGACAGGTGACCCAGAGAGGTTACAAACCATCTGTCTGTGGAGGTGCTCAAAACCTGATCCTTAGTAACCTGATACAACTTTGAAGCAAGCCCTGCTCCGAGCGCAGGGTAGGACCACGGACCCCTTCACCCAAAATCTGCTGCAGTTCTATTCCAGAATCAGCAATATCAAAGCAAAAGAATGAAAAAGACCAGATACTAAGCTTTTTAAATAGATCTGCCTATAAAGAAAACGCATTAAAAAATGGTGAAGTTTGGAAACAACAGGGTTTTACTAATTTTTTTGCTTAAAAATATTTTCTAGTTTCAGTTCTTTTATCACCTCCTGTTATAGCTCCTCACTGTGACAGAATAAATGGCATTTTTGCCACACTTTTCACTTTATTTTTCCACTCCCTTGAGGAAGATTTCAAATGTGAAACAACTGGAGGGGGGGGGGGGAGGGGGCCCAAACAAAAAAACTAACACAACAGAAAGAAAATCCTTAAGAAATAGACACACAAACCCCCTAACAGTGGAAAAAATCCAGTGTAATTAATTTAACTGCACTCTTGGAAAGCTGGAACAGAATAAGGAAAAAA